CCTCTGCCCCTCTCGGAGAGCCCGGCAAGCTACCCAGAATATCTCGCCTGCATGGCAAAGCCTACCAAGCTACCCATGACGTATCTGATATGCCAAACACAGTAACAACTCTCACAATAGAAACTTTACTGGACCCACTCGAGCAAATCGATGAACAACAGGAGGACAGTGCAGGACAGTGCTATTCTCTTTTTTTTTTTTTTGGTTTTGGGGTCACACCTAGCGATGAACAGGGGCCACTCCTGGCTCTGCACTCAGAAATCACTCCTGGCAGTGCTCAGGGAACCATATGGGATGCTGGGAATCGAACCTGGGTCGGCTGCGTGCAAAGCAAACGCCCTACCCGCCTTGCTATCGCTCCAGCCCCACAGTGCTATTCTCTTATTATCATTTGCATAGGGTTTCATACCTTTTATTTATTTGCTGGTTTTTGGGTTTACTCCTGGCTCTGTGCTCAGAGATCACTCCTGGCAGGGCTTAGGGGACCATATGGGGTGACAAGGATCGAACTTGGGGGGAATGCATGCAAGGTAAGTGCCCTATCAACTGTACCATCATCCAGCCCCACTTCATACCTTTTAAAATAATTCTGTTAGTTTTTTTTGTGGCGTTTCAGGATGAAGGTCATGTATGTTTAGTTTGCCAACTTAATTCTGCAAGGCCCACACATGCTATCTCCACTCAGATGCCTTTCCTGTTCCTCCTCAAGACAGAATTAATCTATCAGAAGATGTGTTAGATAAAGAATACCAATTCTTGGGGGCCGGAGTGATAGTACAGAGGGCAGGGCATTTGCCTTGCATGCGGGCAACCCGGATTTAGTCCCTGGCAAACCACGTGGTTCCCGGAGCCTGCCAGGAGTGATCCCTGAGCACAGAGCCAGGAGTAAGCCCTGAGCAGCGCTGGGTGTGGCCAAAAACCACTCCCTGCGAAAAACACCAAAGAGCCCTTTCCAGAGCCCACATTTGATTGCATCATTCTGTACTGACGACTATTCCAGGAAGCCCTCACTGGTTTTAACTGTGTCTGTACTCTCCCGGAGTTAGGAGTCCGTCTCCCTCCACCCTCACCAGGCTGTGAGCTCCTCGGGAGTAGTCCAGACACTGTTCGTTTATAGGGCTTAACTGAGGACCAGAAAAGGTCAATGCTAGTTCTGATTCTCTTGGCTCTCCTTGGCCCTACTGGTTCAGGGAGTTGGTTTTGACCATGCTGGTGGGAAACAGATCTGTGGACTAGATTCTTTTTTTTTATTATTTTTTTTTTCTTTTTGGGTCACACCCGGCAATGCACAGGGGTTACTCCTGGCTCTGCGCCCAGGAATCACCCCTGGCGGTGCTCAGGGGACCATATGGGATGCTGGGAATCGAACCCGGGTTGGCCGCGTGCAAGGTAAACGCCCTCCCCGCTGTGCTATTGCCCCAGCCCCTGTGGACTAGATTCTATCATCCCATGACAATGGGAATCCCCGGCGGCTATGACGCCTCTGTCCCCAGATTGGAGAAAAGCTTCTCAACAGAAAAGGCAACGCTACTATTACACCACCTCTTTGCAAACAGGAAAGGGAAAAACAGCTCTGGAGAGAGGCAGCCTAGGAGACCACCCTGAGGGAAATCTCTTCCTGGGGGGGATCTGAGCTCCTCACTGCTCCCGTTAGCACAGACACGTCCCTCTGGGTCACATGGGCTCTCCCAGGGCTCGGTTCAGTCAGGTCCTGGGGTGACACCCTGGAGACCCCGGTCCTGGCTTCCTGGTCACAGATCTGCTATTAGGGAGACTCTGAGGAAACTTCTGTCCACACTGCCCGTTCCTCCCTGTCCCCACCAACGGGAAAATGGAGGTCAGCAGAGAGCAGGGGCCCTGGGACCTGTCCGAGATGAAAGCCAGTTCCAGCAGGGCAGCGGGCTCAGGACCTGAGCCCCTGCCCTCCCCCTTCTGGCCTGAAGCTCTGTGGAGGTGGGTTGCCATGGCAGTCCTCAAGAAGGAGGAGGATGAAGGAAGAGGGCTGCCATTGTCTCCCTTCCCTTGGAGCCCAGAGTGGGCTTGGTCCACTGAAGTTTTGAGTGGGCGAGGGTGCACGTGCAGAAGCGCGGAGCAACCAGGGTGGGGGGAACGGGGGTGGGGGGAGTATCTCCTTGCAGGTAGCAGGCGAGGGGTCTTTGGAAGAACAGACTAGAGCACCTGGACCCAGTTTTGCTCTGAGTGGCTCCAAGGCCTGTCCCTTGTACCTCCCTGGGTACAATCCAGGGGGCAGGGCAGTGTCTCAAGCAGTGCGTGACACCCTGGCCCCAGGAGGGAGAGAGAAGTGGCCTGAGAATTGCCAGGTCTGTGGGACACAAAGGAAACTTCCTCCTCTCCTGCTTTGATGTTTTGGTCTTGGGGCCACACACATTGGTGCTCAGGGCGTACTTCTGGCTCTGTGCTCAGGGATCACTCCTGCTGGGCTTAGGGGATCACATGGGGTACCGAGGAGCTGAGGATCAAACCCGGGCTGGGTGCATTCCAGGCAGGCGCCTACCCTCTGCACCATTGCTCTGTCCCCACTCCCCTTACTCTTCCGGAGGGTTCCCTTGCCAAATTCTCATGGCTGGCTTGGGTTCCAGGACAGTCCAGGTCAAGAGTGCAGAGCAACAAGCTGGAGCGATAGTACAGTGGGCAGGCAGGGCCTTTGCCCTGCACACAGCCGACCCTGATTCGATCCCCAGCATATCCCACAGGGTCCCCCTGCCAGGAGTAAGTCCTGAGTGCAAAGCCAAAAGAAATCCCCGAACATTGCCAGGTGTGGCTCAGAAAGAAAGAAAGAAAAAAAGAGTGCAGAGCCCCATTATGAAAGTCAAAACAAGTATCTTTCCTTAAAGCTGACCAACAGGTCCTGTCCACCCAAGGCAGAAAGGAGCCAGAGAGTGCCCAGGGGAGCCCCTCCACTGACTCCCTCGAAACATACACGCAAATGTGCACAGTCACGCTCAGGGCACCCTTCTGCAGTCTGAGGCTGGAAAATGCTGGTGGCTCCTCTCAACTTTAAAGTCATCAAAAATGTGGGCCGGAAGGGCTGGAGCGATAGTACAGTGGTCAGGGAGCTTGCCGTGCGTGTATGTGGCTGACTGAGGCTCAGTTCCTCCACACCTCGTATGGTCTCCCGGCCCCCACCAGAAGTGATCCCTGAGCACAAGCCAGATGTGGCTTAAACACACACACACACACACACACACACACACACACAAACACACACACACACACAACATATCAAGCAGGTAGGGCAACTGCCTTGCAGGTGGCCAACCCAGATTGGACTCCTGACCTCCCATATGGTCCCCTGAGTATCGCCAGGAGTGATTTTTTTTTTTTTTTGGCCAGGAGTGATTTCTGAGGTAGAGCCAGGAGCGACCCCTGAGCATCGCAGGGTCTGACCAAAAAACAAAAAGCCAAACGAACACCCCATTTGGAAGGGGCAATAGTATAGCAGGTAAGGCGCTTGCTTTGTATGTGGCCAACCCAGGTTCCATCCTGAGCATCCCATATGGTCTCCAGAGCAATACCAGGAGTAATTTCTGAGTGCAGCGCCAGGAGTAACCCCTGGGCACCACTGGGTATGGCCCGAAGGGCCCCACTCCCATCACCACCACTGATTCGGTAAACTGCCTGAGCCCTGGCACATGCACTTGGTGAAGGTGAGTTTCTGGAGCAGGGCATCTCAGGCAGCCTTGTTCTGGGCCCTGAGCAGAAATCAAGTCAGGTGAGGCAGACTAGGGCCTCGGGTGGGCAGTCAGCCTGCTCTGGAGAACCTGAGCCCACCTCCGATCTTCAAGGTCAAGTGCACACAAGGCATTCGAGGCATCCTTCCTCTGGGGCGTGTTTCAGATTGTTCTCTCCACAAGGCCTTCCTCGCAGCCTGGGAGCCCCATGACCTCCCCCACTCCCGCACAGCCCCGCCTGGCACAGAGCAGGGCACAAAGTGGGGTTCCAGGAAGACTCGCCCGCTGCCTGCCTGCCGCCAACTGTGGCCTCCTGATCCTGGGCCAGAGAGCAGTGGGGAATTCCTCAATCCCTGGAGCTGGCTGCGAAGTAACGAAGTAACGGCAGGTGTTAAATCAGCCCCTGAACAGGAGCCCAGGCCGAAGGGAGCCTGGGCAGGGGGGCCTTGGGGAGGAGGCCGCTGCCCTTCTGGCACTGAATCTTGACCGACAATGTAGGGAAGGGGGTGGGGGGAGGCTGCCCCTTTCTTTCCTCCTCTTCTCCCCTAGGAGGTACCCTAGGGTCCAAATGCCCCCTGTACCTGGGGAGCGGGGCAGGGGCTGAGGCCGAGGTAAGGTAGCCGCTGGGTCTGGGAACTTGCAAATACTTTTTTTAAGCAGGGTCGGGGCAACGGCAGGAAAGGAGAGGAGGATTTTAGTGGCCCTAGCGCTGCCAGTCTTCGCCTGCATCTCTGCTGTGAGGAAAGTGGTGTCCCGGGGGCTGGAGCAATATGGTACAGCGGGTAGGGCGTTTGCCTTGCACGCGGCCAACCCGGGTTCGATTCCCAGCATCCCATATGGTCCCCTGAGCACAGCCAGGAGTAATTCCTGAGCGCATGAGCCAGGAGTAACCCCTGTGCATCGCTGTGGGAGACCCAAAAAGAAAAAAAAGAGTGGTGTCCCCAAACAGGGGAGTTGGGGGGGGGGGCGTGCTCGGAGCTACACCTCCCCTGGGGCCGGGTCTGTCCCACCCCCAGGAGCAGGGAGCCGGGGGCTGTCGCTGGGGTTTCCCAGGGGGCACCTTCTCCTTCTCGGCTCACTTGGCAGGAAAAAATCCCGGGGAGCCCTTGCCTGACCCCCAAGTCCTGAGGACTCATGCACACTCCACCCACTCTGGGGGTGGGGTGGGGGGGCTATGGATGGTTCAGATGGATCTGGGGGCTCCCGGGGAGTTTCGAGCCCCTTCTCTCCAGCCCAGCTCTGGGGGGAGACTCTAGGGCTGCGTCCCCCCCACCCCGGGGTCCCCCCGGATGGGGAGCCCAGACTCACCAGCTCCATCCTCAGGGCCAGGATCTTGCCCCCCAGGCCTTGGGCCGCGCCGGGCGCCCCCGGGAGCGTCGGGGGTCCCGAGGGTCCCAGCTCCCACTCGCCGCGAAGTCCGCGCAGCAGCCCCTCGGGGGTCTTCCTGCCCACCTTGCCCTCCAGGTCTCGCAGGTCGGGCGCCTGGGGCTCCGCAGCCCCCTCCATGCGGGCCAACGCCTGCCGGGGCCGGGCTGGGCCGCCGGACTCCGGGGGTCCCGTCCCGGGGGGCCTCCCGGCTCCCCGGCCAGCGCCGAGCGGATCCGGCGGGTCCCCCCGCGCGGCCCGGGCGGGACGAGGGCGCCGTAAGGCTCAGAAAAGCCGCGCAGGGCCGCGAGTGTAAAGACCCGAGAGCTGCGCACTCCGCCTCCAGCCGCCGGGCGCAAGGGGCTCTGCTGACCGGAAGGGGCACCCACGAGTCTGGCGCCTTCTCCCTGGGCAGGCGCGGGGTCCCCGCCAGGCAGCCCAGCACGGCAGGCCCCCGGGTGTTTGCTGGATGACCGGTCCCTCGCCCTCCGACGGGGTCTGGGAGTTCCAAGGACAGCTGCGAAGGGGTGAATGCCACTTCCAGGAGCAGAAGAGTTAAATGCGAACTGCAGAAGTTAACCTGACTCTGTCGCACGCCCGATCTCGAACCCTGAATTCAGAGTCACGGTCACGACCATCCTGTTGTTCGTCGATTGCCTCCAGCAGGCCCCAGTAACGTCTCCTTCCTCCTAGCCCTGAGATTTGTTTTAAAAAAGTGCCACATTCAAGGCTCTTTCGGGGTTAGGAGAATCAGACCCATCCTTGTTACTGGTATTTGGCATATTGGGCACGCCACCGGGAGTTTGCCAGAATTCAGAGGGATAAAAAGTGAAACTCTGGGCAAGAAAGATGCAGACCCTAAGGAGATCCACACGGGCTGCTCAGAGTTGATCCTGTTGTGGATTGCTCATTTCCCACGCTTGGCCATAAAGGGGCCGGAGAGATGGACAGTGGGCAGGGCGTTCGCCTTACACACGGTGCACCCAGATTTGACCGCTGGCACCCCGTATGGCCCTCTGAGCCTGCCAGGAGTGATCCCTGAGTACAGAGCTAGGAGTAAGCCCCGAGCACCACTGGGTGTGGTCTCCAAACAAAACAAATTTTAAAAAGATTGGCCATACATATGAATTCTCTGCATAGCTTTTTAAAAAGATGATGTGTGTGATGTGATGTGTGTGTGTGTGTGTGTGTGCATGAGATAATACAGGGGGATCACACAATGCCAAGGATTGGACCCAGACCACCCTGCAAACAAAGCGTGAGCTCAGCCCATTGAGCTGACCTAATCCTCCTTAGTCTCTCTCTCTCTCTCTCTCTCTCTCTCTCTCTCTCTCTTTCTCTCTCTCTCTCTCTCTCTCTCTCTCTCTCTCTCTCTCTGTTTAGGGGCCTCCATAAAATAAAGGACTGATCTTAAAAGTCATAGATGAGAGCAGAGCCTGATACCTAGTTTACACAGTGCCAGTCTATGAAGTTGGCAGCTCCCTGGCAGGTCCAGAATCGTTTGAAAATCAAGAAAAGAGTAATTAACTTCAGGTTTCAGGTGTACTGGTCACATTTTGATTATGATTCCTGAGAAAAAAAGAATTGAGGCGGTCCCTTTACTGGAAACCACGCCAGCTTCAGATAGAGCTCGACAGACTGCAGAAAGGCCACAACAAGTGACTGAGCCGAGACAAGCTCGTGCTGTTTTGCCAGATATCGGAGCATGTCAGGGATGCAGACACACAGTAGGACCTGTCGTCTGTAGACTCCTTGACTGACATGTAGAAATAATTCTGCACTAGTAGAATTCCTGACTGGATTTCAGTTTGCTTTCTTTTTTGGGGGGTGGGGGAGACATATCAGGCAGTGCTCAGGGATCATTCCTGGAGGTCGTAGAAGGGTGCCAGGGATCGAACCCAGGTTAGTCACATACAAGTACTAACAAGTACTAACCCATTATACTATGTTTCAGGCCCCCGTTTCCTTTTTTTTTCTTTTTGGGGTCACACCCGGCGATGCACAGGGGTTACTCCTGGCGCTCCACTCAGGAATTACCCCTGGCGGTGCTTGGGGGACCCTATGGGATGCTGGGAATCGAACCCGGGTCGGCTGTGTGCAAGGCAAACGCCCTACCTGCTGTGCTATCTCTCCAGCCCCCCCCCCCCCCCGTTTCCTTGTTTTTGATCCCTTTTTTTTTTTCTCTCCAGAACTGTCTCTTTTTCCTGCATCAAGGATTGAGACACAGGTCATTGGACTGATCTATTCTCAGGACTGAGACACAAGTTCTATAGAATATTTAAGACAGATCAGCCGCTGCCTTGTGGAAAATCTCAAGAACTTTCAAAGGTGAGACTGTAGAGCAAATATCTTCTGCCTCCAAATATGTCTCTTGCAAAAGTCTAATTCCATGGGTGGGATCCCAAAGACAGAATGGAGATCACTTTTATTCTTTTCAATAAAGAAACGTTAGTAGGGGCTGGAGCGATAGCACAGTGGGTAGGGCATTTGCCTTGCATGCGGCTGACCCCGGGCTCAATTCCCAGCATCCCATAGGGTCCCCTGAGCACCGCCAGGAGTCATTCCTGAGTGCAAAGTGCAAAGCCAGGAGTAACTCCTGTGCATCACCGGGTGTGACCCAAAAAGGGGAAAAAAAAAAAGTCAAAGGCGAGCACGAGCTAGAGAAAATGTACAGAGGTCAAGGCACGTGTCTTACGGCAAAGGTCCAGCCCAGTCTACGGTCCTCCAGCACCTCCACGTATGGCCCCTGCAGAGAGCCAGAAGGGGACCCTGTGCGGAGCCAGGAGTGGGCCCTGAGCACAGAGTAGGTGGACCCCTCCCTCTCGGAATGAAAGGGAGAGGGCAAGAGAAGGGGGCGTGATCAAGAGAAAGGCAGCCTTCTCCGGAGGGAGGGAAGAGCCCCAGGAATAGAAGGCGTCACACACCTCTGGAGGTCGCCTTCGTCGGGGTGTATGATTGGGGGGCGGGTGTGCTCAGGGACTCAAGGGCTGCTCCTGGAGGGCCTCACCGGACCTCGCAGTGGGGGAACTGACCCTGGGCTTCCTGCGCGAGGCAATGCCACCGGGCACTACCCCAGGCCCAGCTGCCCGTCCTGGAGACAGTCTCCAACGGGTCCTTCTCCCCTGCAACCAGTCGCCGGCTCTATCCCACCCCCTCCACTAGCCAGGAAGTGGCCAGGTCTGGGCCGCGACCCTGCCCCCCTCAAGACCGGGAGCCGGACAACTGCGGGAATCCGAAATCGGCCCGTTGGGAATCGCGCGCTGGACTCGGGATTTAAACCGGCCAAGTCCCGTGGGCTGTGCGGGGTGCAAAGAATGTTCCAGGCGCCGACGCGGGGGAAGACGGCACGCGGGCGGAGCACTGACTCGGGAGTCTCTCGCTAGATCCCGAGAACGGATGACGGGGGGTTGGGCACGCCGCAGTCGGAGGACTGGTGCGGGGAGGGGGACACTCACGGCCCCTCCTGGCTGAAAACGGCCTCCCCAGTCCCCCCCCACCTAAGCTTCCAGGGGTGGCCGCGCAGGCTCAAGAGGGTCCTCGGGGGGCTGGAGCGATAGCACAGCGGGGAGGGCGTTTGCCTTGCACGCAGCCAACCTGGGTTCGATTCCCAGCATCCCATATGGTCCCCTGAGCACCACCAGGAGTAATTCCTGAGTGCAGCTCCGGGAGTCAGCCCTGCGCGTTGCCGGGTGTGACCCAAAAAGCAAGCAAAAAAAAAAAAAACATTAGATTGGGGCTGGAGTGATAGTACAGCGGGCAAGACTTGCACGTGGCCGACCCGGGTTCGATTCCCAGCATCCCATAGGGTCCCCTGAGCACCGCCAGGAGTGAATCCTGAACGCAGAGCCAGGAGTAACCCCTGTGCATCGCCGGGTGTGACCCAAAAGGCAAAAAAATACACTCAAATACTATCGGCAGGGGCTGGAGCACAGCGGGTAGGGCCGCCTTGCACGCGGCCAACCTGGGTTCGATTCTCAGCATCCCATTTGGTCCCCCGAGCACCGCCAGGAGCAATTCCTGAGTGCATGAGCCAGGAGTGACCCCTGAGCATCGCCGGGTGGGACCCAAAAAGGAAAAAAAAATTTTTTTTAAATAAATAAATTTAAAAAAATGAAAAGACCTTAAGGGGGGCCGGAGCAATAGCACAGCGGGGAGGGCGTTTGCCTTGCACGCGGCCGACCCGGGTTCGAATCCCAGCATCCCATAGGGTCCTCTGAGCACCGCCAGGGGTGACTCCTGAGTGCAGAGCCAGGAGTGACCCCTGAGCATCGCCGGGTGCGACCCAAAAAGCAAAAAAAAAAAAAAAAAAGAGGTGGTCCTGGCGGACGCGCGAGCACCGCCCCCCGGAGGAAGCGCCCTCGCCCCGCCCCCGGCGCCAAGCCCCGCCCCCCGCCCTCTGACCCCGCGGCGGCGGAAGCGGGGGGGCGGGGCGCGCGCGGGATGGAGGCGGCGGCGGCGGCGGCCCCGGGGCGCCGGGCGCAGCGGCGCGGGTCCGAGCGGGGCCCGAGCGGGGCGCGGGGCCCCTGAGCCGTGAGTGCGGGGGGGGGGGCGGGCGAGGCGCGGGCCGGGCCGGAGACCCCCGCCCAGGTCGGAGGGCCCTCGCCCCACGCGCCCCGTCCCTGGCCCCTCCGGCCCGCAGGTCCGGGCATGGGCTGGCCGGGCCGGCGCTGACCCCAGCCGCGGCATGGAGGACTGGAAGGCCGGACCCCCGCCCAGGCCCTTCGGGGCGCGCAAGAAGCGGAGCTGGAGCCTGGCCTGGAGGTACAAGCTGACCCACCAGCGGGCCCTGCGCAGGGGCTGCCAGGTACGGGGTCCCGCCTCCCCCCCCCGGTCTGTGTGTCCCCCCACCCCCACCCCCCCAGGGACTGGAGCTCTTTGTTGCTCCCACCCCAGCCCTGGGCCGGGCCCCGAGTTCTGGAATCAGAACCCAAGTCCCGCCTCGCCCACCCGGCTAGAGCCCAGCGATGGGGCGCCCCAGGAAAACCAAGGCGACTCCTTGGGACATGCAGGACTCCTGGGTAGGGGCCCCTTGCTGAGTGGGTGGGACCCTCGCAGGGCGCTGCTCCGGAGATGGGTGCGGAGAGACCCTGACCGCCCCGGGAGTGAGAGCCGGGGGACAGAGGGGAGGGGAGCAGGTCCTTGGTTCCCCTGGAGGCTCACGGCCCCCAGGGCCCTCCTCGGG